CAATTGCTACTGGAAAAACGTCATCAGTGATATTCACTAAAAATATATTTTCTTCGTACGAAAGAAGAAAAACTGGTTCAGTCTCACCGTTTACAAGAGCAGTTTCCCTTGAAAAGGTTTTTGTCATGGACTTGTTTGTCTTGCTAGAGTAAGTGTTAAAACTGCAGATTCAAGTGTTTTACCTGCTCGAACAAAAACTTCTCAAGTTTTCTTATTTACTCGAGCAATTTTTGTTACGGTAAACTTGTTGGAAGAAGCGGGACTGGTAACTGAACTGCTTGAGAGGAGAGGTTAAATTGCTCCTATGCATGTTGACGTCAGCCGAGCAAATTGCACCACCAAGCCTCGTTTTGATATAGGCCATTTCCGAGTTGCCCCGGCCTCTGTTTCAAAACGAGGGTAGGTGCTCAGCCTTTGATATGGAAATCATTTTTGATTCTCATGCAAATAAAACTCATTTTCACAAGAAAGGTTGTGCACCTAGCCTCATTTTGAAAGTGAGGCTTTATGGAACTCGGAAGTTGCCTATTGTAAAGTTGGGAAGTTTTGGATATATAAATTCCCAAGGCAATAGAGTTGAGAAAAATAATCAGGCACAAAAAATGCAAATTCGAAGACTATTGTTCGCAGTCGAACCTTTGTGTAAAATTTTCGTCTGGCGTCAACATGCATAAAGCCCATTATGTGTAAGCTTATGTAGGTTAAAACTTACAAGATATTCAGGGGAGTGTCAGCAAATGTATATGGAGGAATGCTGGTCAAATTGTTATCTATCATCATTCTGAAATAAAATACAAGTAAGATCCAGTTTAGTCTCATCCATTCAATTATTCTGTCGCTTCTTACTGTAACTCTCCCGGCTAAGTCATTAACAATTTTTGAACGAGGCTGAGTATGATGTAGAGAATTGTGCAGATCGAGGAGGATGGATGACATCCTCAAAGATTTTCATAATTAACAATTATTGAACGAGACTGAGTTATGGAGGCCGAGGCGGATAACACCCTCCGAAATCTCCATAATTCTTCAGATGATACGAAAGCCGAATTCAATAATTGTTTTATTATTCATTCAAAATTTATAATTCCTAGTTTAAAAACAAGCTAAAACATGCTTACCTCCATCGATGTTAAGTTCATCTTCGATAGTGCATGTTAATCGGCAAGTTTACGAGATACAGTATTGTGCAAAAAAATGAAAGCAAAATTCGCTGGAATCAGCGAATTTCGGCAATCAAATTGCAAACTAACTCGTTTCAGAGTTGTACAGCTCCGCAAATATTCTCCAAATAGCCGACGTCCTCCGTTCAGATGTCTTCTTGCTGTTCTTACTATATTTTTAGAGAGTAGTTCTCCTATTTATTCCTCGTGAAACTACTGAAATGTTCCGCCATTTTTTTACTCACTTCCAAAACAACTCAACCTCGTTCCCAGGTCTTCTCGGCTAACAGTTCAATAATCTGGCAATTAGCTGCACGATTGACGTCATTTTTCACATATCGCAAACGTCTTCCAAATTTGGTGGACACTAGCTGGTTATGATGAATTGTGCGTGGAATTTTAGCCAATCAGAAACGGAGAAATATTTTGAATGAATAATAATACTTGATACTCATACGAAAGCGAGATTCAAGACTGAATTGTTTTGCTATTCAAATGGCATCATCACCAAATGTTGCCTTCTGCAGCTTGGAAAAAAAGACAACACTAACTCCCCAAAAATTATATTCTTCTCTACAGCTTAACAAGTTTTTAAGGTGACTCGACCCAGTTTTTTTGGGGGGTGCCATCCTACTTTGAAGCTCTCTGGTATCCCCACCTTTACTTTTATCGTAAGTCTAACACATAGAATGGATAACATATAGATCAATCTACAATATAACATAAAACTTTTTGCGATCGGAGTAAATGTCAGGTGGTTATAATGCCACGCCCCTTTGAGGTCTAAGTCGAAAATCTGCTGTAGCCGGCATTTTTTCGTGAAAATCTCTCGGCTACACATAGTGCGCAATAGTGCCTTGCGCTGAACAGAGTTTCACCAAAATCGCAAAGACCCAATTCGAGAAATTCAGCGGTTTCCAAATTTAGGTCATAATTTATGCGAAAATGATAAGCAAACTTTACACGATTGTATCTAATAAACTATGAGATTCATCCCTATATTTTGGGCATTGAAAAACTGTGACATTATCTTCTATAAGCCCAAACTTGAGTAAACATTGAAGATTTTTAGCGTTTTGGCTGAGTTTGTGCTTTGGGAGTTGGCTATTGTTTCTAGTCTGTCATTATACAGCATTCTTGTTCAGCACGCGTGCATTGACCGCGCTTGGCTGACTTCCGAATGCTCACCGAGATATGATAATTTTGGTACAGTGAGACAGGCCATCGTGTGATACATAGAGGTTTAACTCACAATTTGTAATTAATTCTCGTGCTTGTTGTACCTTTGCAAAAAAATCAAGAAGCGCTACACAATAAATCTTCTTACTATTAAAAAAATATCATTTTTAAATGAGTTTAACGCAAGCCAATAATTAAACCAACTCGTGACGGGAATCCCTTCTATTTTCTCATACTAAATTATCATATCTCGGTGAGCATTCGGAAGTCAGCCAAGCGCGGTCATTGCACGCGTACTGAACAAGAATGCCGTATAATGGGGATACCAGAGAACTTCAAAGTAGGATGGTAACCCCCCAAAAACTGGGTCGAGTCACCTTAATATTGAGTAATTTCTTAACAACTTACAGGGTACGCAAGTTTGTAAGCCCAGCAAACGTGCGACGATTAATTTGCGAGATGGAATTAAAGTTTAGGCGCCTAGGATGAGGAAGGAAAAGAAACAGGGAAATCATTAGTCAAAGAGTGTAATGGCCTTATGTAGAATAACAACGCTAGAAACCTATGTTATGAAGGACGATACTTTCTTGTTTAGAAGACGCTAATATGCTAAAGAAATGTAACGTTCAAAAAAGGGGGAAATTTCATATATCCCATGATGCATCGCTTCATACTATATTATCAAGCGTCCGAACGCACGTGATCCTATCAGTTCTCATCAGTTCAACAGGGACGCGATAGTTGAACAACGATGGAAAGCGACTTGTTTTGCCTATAAAACCTTCTGTACCTTTGCTGTGTCGATCTATTTACGATTTTCGTTCTACTATTCCAAATATATCTCTTGTTAAGTCAAGGAGAATGTTTGGCTGCCGATTAGTAGTTAACTACTGTAACTAGCCTTACGATCGCAAGGCAGTCCACACAAATGTTCTTAGAAGCTATCGAGGAAGGTCTTTGCTTCAGTACGTCCTGTATTAACGTGCGTTGATAAAGCTCTCCATGGATTTTCAAGCGATTTCCACGTACTTGTCTTGAAATAAATACATATTCTAGGTGTGAGATTTCTCTTCGTTGCTTGTTTGTGATCGCGGTGCTCATATTGTCAGTTCAGTAATTCATCGATACCGTACATCAACCGTTCGTTGACCGCACATGCATTTACTTCAACAAGCTCGGCTTATGCAGTCGAAAATACCGAGACCGTTAAAGTACAAAGTGACGTCTACCGGAGATAAAATTCAAAGGAGGGGAATAGGTCCTACAAACAATAAAAATAACAAAGACATCTCTATATTTTTCGTAACACAACACCAGCTAAGCATTCGTCAAGCATAAACAGAAAAATCTTTATTAAGCAATGGCAAAATATATATATACAAAAACACCCACTTCCTCTTTACAATGCATCCTAAAAGAATTATCAAAATGTCTTTAAAGGTTTTATACGCCGGTTGAGGTCCTACGGCGTGCTATTCCATGACATTTGCTGGCCTGTATTTTTGAAGTTTGCCTCACGCGGTTGCGACCAGAAGCCACCATGAGAAACCTATTTTACCTAAAATAATGAGACAAAAAAGCTTTAATACTATAAACCAGTGAATTTAAAAACTCATCATACCCTCAAGAGATAATACTTGAGTTTGTTCAGCGAAAAAAGAGCGAATTCAAGAAAAAAATGTCCCATGTTCGCAGGACTTAGCATAACGAAATTGAAACCCTCGCCTTGCATCTTAGCTGAGAAAGGGCAGAAAATGCGATATTTCAAAACGATCAAACCCATAAAAATCGCGAGGTCGAAAGAGGTCGGAGCGTGGAACTAGTATCAAGCACCCCTTGTCCGCCGACTTAAATAATTTATTGGGGCAAAACCTTTCTAGAATAAAGACAGTTTTCGATAATTGAAGGTCATCTAACTAAATATTCACTTGCGAGTTAAAACAGCATGGCTTAACAGGGTCGTAAACGAGAGCAATAATGCATGAAATGGCTTTGGAAACATTTTACATTATCAATCAGATACCAAAGATTAACAGGACTCATTAAAACTTACCTTGGATGAGCTGCATCTTGATTTTCAGGTCGTTGAAAATCTCCCTCGAAACCCTCGAACGCTCTTTCGACCGCGAAGAGAGGACAGAAATTAGCGGCGAAGCATCATGGGATATATGAAATTCCCCCCTTGGGTTCAAAACGCCAACATAAAATTCAAAACTTACAGTTCAACTAGTTTATTGCAGCTAGAAAAGGCTTCATCGGGTAATGACTGTAGTTTGTTGAATGACAAATCTCTTCAAGAAAAAAATAAACAACAAGTAACAAAAACAGCAACAAAAAAACAATAGCTGAGGCCTGCTGAGGTTAGTAGGAGTGGGTAAACTAACTGAGTAATCGCTTATCATTGACATATCAGAATTGAGATACGACAGCAATATTGGACATTTAGCAAAAAATAGGCTGGGATCTAACAGACCGCACGACCAGTATTTTAGCTTTAACCTCACCGTGACTTTACAAAGTTTTAAATTGTATATTTTGTGACGCCTTAGTAAACTTACATCGAATAAAATACCGGTAGCTTCCTAAATATGTTGGGCGGAAGTCGTTCAATGTTATTCTCATCTAAACGTCTGTAAAGAGAAAACAATGATTAGTCAATAGCATTGACGCAAATAAGGTTAACTAGTACTATACGTTTCAGAAACAATTTGTTGAAGCGCGAGGCATTTTTTTAAACACGGTGGGCATGTGACATCAAAAACGCCGACCTTTAGTCATCTTTTTTAGTTTTAAAGCAGCTCACTTGAAATTTTGCAACAATATAGAACTCAGCATTCAAAAAAAACGTATGTTTTTTGTTTTTCAGATTTTGGTATTTTATGCCATTTTTGGCTTGAAAATGACCTCACAAAGTTCCCGCCAAATTTTGTTTTTAGTATTATGGGATATCTAATGATGGTTTCTGAAGGAAGTCACCACAAGGATGTCAAAACTGAAAAAAATTTTGAAAAATGTTTATCCACTTAAAAGATATAGCGTTTCGAAATTTGGATTTCCTGCCATTTTGAGCTATTTTTAGTAACAAAGTGGCGGAAAATTCTAAAGAGTATTTTGTCCAAAAATTCTGACAATTCTCAACTTAAGCCAAGTTTTTGCTCTAAACTTTTAAGAGCCTGGAGTTCTCGATCGATGAAACTAGGATAAACGTGTCAAAAATCCACGATTGCGAACGTAATTCGTCACCCATGACGCTAAAGGCTTGGGAAATTATTAGGATTTGAACAAAAACGCGCGTGAAATTATTCCCTAACTTCTCTCGTCACCGTTTGATTACACATACTAATCAAATATGATTGATGAAAATGAAAACACCCATGGGGAGAATATTTTATTTAAGTTACTTCCTCCCCAGGACTGAGGATTAATTTTAAATAAAAGGCGGGAAAAGGCATAAATATTCTATTTGCAGGGCAAATATTCTATTCATTACCACGCTACAACTTACAGTGATGCGACAAACGGAATGTTTGATTTTCCGAGCCACGATATATCTGTGATACTATTCTCTTTTAAGTTTCTAAAACATAAGAGGATCATCCTTAGTCTACCCAAACGTAATCATTTTGAATAAATAAAAACACTCTCACGTGCCATTTACATACGGGTGAAATTACTGTAAGTGAAAACAGCAGCCTTGCAGCTCTTCTTCTGTTTTCGGCCTAGGTTTCATTGTTCACTTTGTTTGTTCCTTTGTTTTCCAAACCAATCCCGTGGGGCGTCCGAGAGCTGCAAGGTTGTTCAGTGTATATCACGACAGCCATCAGGATAATAGACCACTTAAACTTTATTTCTTTACACAGGAAATTCTTTTTTAAAACACGTATGCTAATAAGCATAAATGGAAGCCACGACATCATTTGGGATTCGTTAATGTTAATTTTTCACATGATTTAGAGAGGAAGAGGAAGTAAGCATAGACAAATTTATATGTACTTACAAACGTCGTACTCTACGAAGGCCTGTAAAATCTGGTACCGAGTCTAACTGATTTCTGTCAAGAAACCTGAAAAGAACAGGCTGATTTTAAATTAAGAAATTTCCGGTAAACAAACGAATGTGTCTGAAGGTTCCCTCATCCTGAGAAGCGCCCCCTATTTGTAATTGGTTACCTCTTGATAATTGACGTTATCTTAATATATAGATTTAGCCAGGGCTAAAAGCGAGGCTCCCATTAGTAAATTTATAATTTAAATTAAACAATAAACTTGTATTCGAATTCCACAATTCAGTTAACTTTAGAGCACGTTTATGTGACTTTTGAGGGAAAGGCTACCTGATTTTAGAGAAAAATAATTTGCAAACAGCCCAAGAGTGAACCAAATCTTACATCGAGTTGATAGCCTCATATGTACACTCAAAAACTGGTAATCATCTTTTATCACATTTAAGAGCCGTAATGGCTATTGATCACCGTAGATCAATTAGGCTTAGAAAAAAAACCAGGCCAACGTTTTGGCGTTCGACAAGTTTACTTTGCAAAATCTTGCCAACAAATCTGGGTGCGTGTAGACCAACCTTTTATACCATGGACAGAAAGCAGTACTTCACAATACAAATTGCTCTCATTCAATATTCATAAACTGTTAAAAAATTTTCCAAAATCACCTATACGGCCATCCGGTTCTCACTTTTGTAGTGCGAGCTGTAGCGAGTGTTTGAATGAACATTAACAGAGTTACGCTCCAAGATAATAAAGAATTTATCATGTTTATTTTTTATTTGATGGTTTAACGCGCGGCATTTTGAGAACTCCTGCAAGCGATGTTCACTGAACGACTGAAAACAATCGGCATAGCGATTAAAATTGCAAGAGAGACTACTAACAATCAATAAAAGAAATATAATTCGGTGAAACATAAACAGAGACTACAATTTTCATTCAGGAAGACAAGTATTAAAGTGTCCCTAAATATCCTGAATCTTCAAGCTTCAAGCTTAAGTTTGCTGAAGTTTATGTTTTAAGCCAGCTTCCCGGTGTTTGTTTTTTCAAAGACGAACTCGAGGCAAGAAAATCGCTCAAAGCTTTCTTTTCCGGCTGGAATTATAACTAAAGATTCTTTGGAACATTTTCTTTCTATTTGCGGTGAGAAACTGTCTAAAGGCTTTTTAAAGTTCTGTAAGATTATATCAAACCAGATACTCGGTGAGATCGTTGTCTCAAATCTTACAAACGTGCATAAACTAAATTCCCGCATAAACTACGCTCCACTTCATTAAATTAGATACAAAAAACAAACATGAAATACAATAATTTCTCTGGCTTACCATTCGAGATGCAGCTCCTGAAAGTTATCAGGTAAAGCCAGTATCGCTTCAGGCTTTGCAATCCTCTTACGCATCAAGCAAGGTGAAAACGAAAACGATGCCATCCGAAATCGGATTTCCGACTTTGACAAGCGACGTTTTCTCAACCAAAACCCAATAAACAAACTAGCCATGAGTAACAGAAGACTCCTGATAGCAGCTGAATTTCATTTTGTACATCCAGTGGAAAAAAGACAGTTAAAAACATCACAAGTTGACACAAAACTCTGTCAGCTTCAGCTGTTAAAGTAAACAAGATTCAAGATGCTGCATAAATTTTGCGCATGAACTCACCTGTCAAATTTTGACCAATCAGAGCATAAAAATTGGACGTAGAGCGTGACCAACGCGTGACCATTGTGAGAAAAAACAAAAGCAACTGTCTTCCCTGCCTGTAACAGCTGGCTGAATTTTCACGTCCGAGGTCAGTTTGCAATCAAAATTTTAATTGTGCAGCACATAAACACAACATATTTCATATGAATTAAGAAAAAAAAATTGAACTTGAGCCTGCGATCACTTGAAAACTAGTTTACTTGTCAGCGGATAACTTCAAAAATACTTGACCTCGACGGGTCGACACCTGAGCCCGCGATACGGTCAAGTGATACTGGTCATGGGTACTCTGTTTTGACAGCTGTCAATTGATCAAAACATTGATGTCCAATATGTGTGCATTATCAGTTTTCCTGTGCTCCTAAACTAGTAAAAGTATGAGATTGAACGTTGTTCCTGATCTAGTAAAACAGTTAACTGGTCAGCGGACAGCTTTCAAATAAATCACGTCACCTCGATGAGTTGACGCATGAGCCCGCGATATGGTCATGGGATACTGGTCAGTGGCTATCCTGTTTGGACAGCTGTCAATTGACCATATTGTTAATGTCCTATATTAAAGATGTGGACTTGCCAAGACACGCCTGAGACACCCCTCCCTTCCTTTTGATAGTCTCCCCTACCCCACCCATACAATCTGTAGACGCGTACGTACGTACGTATGTACGTACGTACGTACGTACGCTCGGTCAATCACGTGACAACCAAACGAAAAGAGGTTGACCATATTCCATGGGTATGGGGCTCTGTCCCACGCGCGCTTCGCGCGCGCGGGAGCCCCGCTATTAATTAGAAACTTGCAGGGGGCGGAATGCAAAAACACCGACTCCTCTTTATAGCAGTGTTCTAATTTGCTTGCCATAAGAGATGATATCCTCAAAGCGATAAACAGAGGTCAGGTCACCATTGCGATTATGGCAGACTTTTGTAAAGCTTTTGATACCTTGCGTATGGGACAGTTCGGTGAAAATTACATAAGCTAGGGTTTTTTCAAGTCCCCTCTACATTGGATCGTGAGTAATCTGACTGATCGAAGGCATGAAGTACGTCCAAATTGACGATCGTTCGTCGGAACGCATAAATGTCTCTTTTGGGGTGCCTCAAAAATCCATTTTGGTCTTATTCAACCTACATGTCAACGACTTGACTGAAGTACTCCCAATCGAAGAAAAGTGCCATCAATATTCGGACGATACTACGATTTATTGTCACTGTAAACGAGAGCTTCAGAATTGTCAGGCTGATCCCGATATAACTTGGCGCTCAACCATAAGAAGACTAAAGTAAATTAAATGCTTCTTTCAACTGCCCAGATGTCACGAATTCACGGACTAGACGGACACTCTATCAATCTCTGCGCAACTGTAAAGGATCTCGAGCGAATTTCAACTTTCCGCTAACTTGTTACGGAAGTCACGAAAACCTCAACAGAAAAACAGAGATAAACTCCACGACCTCAAGCTGTTACGGAACTTGTCTGTATTGAAGAAGATGAAATACCTAGAGCCGTATAATGTCAGCAAATACTTGGCAGAGTGTCTTATTTTGTCAAAGATCGATTACATAATGACACTGTCAGTAAACCGCCGC